GAGGGAGGGGAGGGAGGAGGGGAGGGAGGAGGGGAAGGAGGGGGATTCGTTGGGGCTGCAGTGTAGAGCTCTCTCCCTGCTCCCGCTTCCCGCCTGGGCTGCAGTGCAGCAGCATCAAACAGGGCGGAAGCCTAAGCAGTGAGAAAGGAAGGAGGCTATTTTTAGCACAGTGGCCAGGGTGTGAATGTTGGTAGAACTGAGCAGGTCCTGAAGCTGACTGCATGATAGAGGGAAGAAAACCTGTTGGTTTTTAAAGGTCAAAGGTCAGGCGGAAAGTTGTGCCCCCATCCTGGGGAGCACCCCGAGTGCTGGCGAGACGCCAGCAAGAACTCCACCCGGTCACACACACAGGAGATTCGTGCTGTTTCTTTTCCCTTTTCAACCTCCAGTAAATTCCTGTTGCAGAGATGAGACCATGCCCCGAGGGGAGTGATGAAGATGCCAGTTCCTGCAGGACTGGGCGAGGTGCGGGGGTGTGTCCGAGGCAGCACCAGCCGTCCCTCCCACTTCCCACCGTCTGGGCTCCCCTCGCCCCAGCGGGTGGTGACGTCTGGCAGCCTGCAAGCCTGATCCAGGCGAGCAGCGGAGAGATGGACAGGAATGCACCTCTGGGGGAACACCTCGCCTTCCTCCTGTCGGTGCCAGCTCACTCCACGTCCCCTGTGCCTGTGCAGGAGAGACGCACTGTGACTCCCGGGCACTGCCAAGGGTCTCCGAACGAAGGTTGCTAACGTCTGCTGGGGACAAGACAATGTGCAAGGATGGCGCTGTTGGGACGCTTACCTTTCAACTCGGGATATGCCAAGAGTGACAATACTCACACCCCCTTTTAGGGAAGGGGGCATTCTCTTTTCTGGGGGTATCTCAAGGCTTTGGAGTCCGTGCTTAGGTCACAGGGTCAGGAAGTGTTTCCAGGAAAGAAAGAACTGTGTTCACAGTGCAGGGTTTGGAATGTGGTGGTTTCATGGGAAGAACTGTAACTGAGGAGAAGGGCAGAGACGCGCTGAGAAGCACTGAGCGGAGGGGGAGAAGGCCTAGCTGCATGCCCGAGGGCAGCAGAGCTTAAGGGTCCACCGGAGCGTGCAGGCTGTTCATTTGACTCTCCACTAGTGGTGAGTTTCTCAATATTCCTCCTGGGGTCAGAGGACAGCACTAGGAGCAGAGGATCCAGCTCCGATTCCAGTTCCGGCACCAAGCTCCTGGGTGGGCCTTAGTTTCCTCATGTGCACGAAGAGTGGTGGCCCAGGTGGCAGACACGCCTTTCCTCATCCCCCAGTTCCTGTGTGTCCCGAGGAGAGGGGCTCTGACAGGCTCCCCGAGGGCAAGTCAGTTCCTGACTGCCTCATGGCTGGGGTCTGCATGCGCAGTGAGTTCAGGGAGAATCCTGCCCCAGCCTTGGAGGGTCCGTGATTTCCGGGGCAGCGAGAGAATTTCCGCAGCTTGCACTGCCCATCTTTAGCTTGCACGATCCCTGAGTCAGTGGAGGCTCAGAGACAGCAGGTCCTGGAGTGCCAGCAGGACAGAACCAACGGGTTGGTGCAGACGGGGAAACGGGGGGTGTCAGGAAAAGCCCGGAGGCTGCTCCAGGATAATACTGCTGAGAAGGGCCTGGGAAAGTTCCTTTTCTGGATCGTGGGCTGCAGCCCTGGCTTTTCTGCCTGGAAGATCTGTGACTGAGGAAGATGGCCTAACTTTTAAACACAAGAGGTGGGGGAGGGGAGGGAAGAGAAGACTGAAAAATAAAGAGAAATGTCAAGGCTGCACCAAAGGCATCTATCCTTGAAAGAACCCTGCTCTTGAACAGATTAGTTGTCCAATTATTTTCGTCCCTTCCTTTCAGTGTGCAGTGCATGCCCCGAAACTGCAATACCTTGGAACTGGAACTAGATAAAAGTTAAGGTCCTGAGATGGAAAAGTGTGAAAGTCTAATTTCTAAAGGCAATGGGCATTTGCCTGTGAGGAAATCTGTACTTCTATCAGTTTTTTTAGGAAGTGAGAAGGTGCAGCTTGGCCAGGCATCATGGGAAACGACTTGGTCGACTTTGCAGAGTCAGTGTGATCCTGCGCTGGCTGTGGTTTGGACCCCCAGAGAGAAATGATAGTGGCTGGGGGAAATCAGGAGCAAGGAGGCAGCGGCAGCCCTGGGAGTGACCTGTGACGCCCGCTCCCAGAGCCGGTTTCAGCCAGCGGCGTCTGGTCTGCCACCTGCATCCCAACACAGGTGACACCAAGGCCTGCCTGAGGCCCAGGCCCACAGCAGTGCAGGACGGGTCCGGGCCTGGAAATGCGGCCCCGCCGGTATGCTGGAGGGGCTGAGCAGAGAAGAGGAGCAGCTGGGCTCATAAAGGAAACCCCAACTTGGATATCACGTGTCGGGGTGGCTCTGGCTTGGGAAGTGTGGTGGAGGAAAGGGAGGAGGGAAAGGGGCCGTGGGGCGGGCAGAGAACACCGTACTCACCCGCGCTTCCTCTCTGTCCCGGCTCCTCCGCTAACCTGTGCAGCACAGACACAAACGATATACTGAGGTCACAGTCGGGGTCTCTTCGCCACCCAGATGTTCACCTGGGGCCTCCCTGACCCATGGGCTCCTGCGCTTGCCTCTCCCCTTTTGCTCCTCGTAGGTCGACTTTGCCCGACCAGGTATGAAAACAGAGGGGAGTCACCCAACCTACAACCAGCAACTGCAACAACTGACCTTATAGAGCCATGGAAACAAGTGCCTCTCAGAAGGAGGAAGACAATAATACTAAAATAGAAAGGAATCTACCTTAAACCTAGGGAGCAGTTACATCAGGGGGCACAGTCCGTGTGGTTCTGAAAGTGAACAAGGTGAAAATGGTCTAAACTATGATAGGAGCAGTAGTTCCTTCCCGCAGACATATCTGCTTGGGATACTAAATCGTACTCTTGTTCACCCTGAAATCTTGAACGATCGCCTGGACCCTCAGAAGCCTGTATCTATTCTCACCAAGGACCACTGCTGTCAGTCTACCAGACACGCACTAGCATTAAGTGTGCAAACTGGATTTATAGCTCCCAACACCGTGGGGGCAGGTTCTGGGAGAGATGATTCTGAAGGACACAGGGACATGAGGCCGTGGAGTAGCTGAGACAAATTTAGGGCTCTGAAGTAATATGGGGGAAGTTATGTTAGCCTGCATTTCATCTATATAGTCTTGGTTGTAAGTACTGACCCCTCAAGGTGAGGGGATGCAAAGTGGGAATCCAGCGGAGCAGAAGCATTCCCCAGGGTGCAGCCAGACAGGGAGCCAGGGTAGGCAGGGAGAGGCCGAGGTAGAGGTGAATGTGGTTGGGAAGTGTGGCTGAGTCGTGAGTTCTTCAAAAGTGCCCATTTGGCTCTCACAGTTTTTGCACTGAGCAGACTATGCCTGACAGGGTGCTGATCCAGTTGTGTTTGTATTATGTCAGCATGATTTCAACCCCAAAGAAGCAAATCGTTCTCTCTTTCTGGTTGATACTAATTGCCCTCTGATGCCTAGGTGACAGTAGTTACTGCTACCTCAGTCTATAGTAAAATCTCATGCCTAGATCACAGTGGAGAATCAGAAGGTCCATCCATAAAAACACGTGGTTTTAGAACTATACCCACATAACAGCCACACGTTAACTATAGGGACATATCCTAGGACCTTATACAGTGTTGAGAGTCAAACATCCTTTTTAAACCCTACCCATCTCTCACCCCAACTCTTAATACTCTTCCCCTTGGGGATGACACCTAAAAGCCACAGAAACAGAAATTCAGGCACTCTCATGAAAAGATTTCACATAGATATACAAAGCAAGAGGTGCAAAGAAAGAAGAGATGTTGACAGGGCAACACAGGTGCCAAGACAGAGGGACCCTGAGGGTACCGGGTACCAGACAAGGGAAACCATACCCAGTCCATGTGTGAGACAGAGCCTACATCCAGACTTGAACCAGGTCTAAGCCTACAGTCTGTGGTCAGGGCAAGGCCCAAGTGGTCAAGGCACAGTCCTCTGTGTGCTTCGGGGGAGCAGGGCAGACCGAGGACAGGCCATGGGAAAAGCTATTGGGAAGGGAGGGGGGTATATGGGAAGAGAGGCCAAAGAAGCAGCTGTTATGTCTTCAGCCAAGAACATTCCACATGAATGCTGGGATCTGGTTGGACTGTGTGTGAGTGCATGCATGTGTTTGCAGCATGTGTTTACATAAGCGTAAATCTATCTCTGTGTGTCTCCTCTTCTCTTCACCTCTTGCACTACAACCCTCCTGCCTTATTCCTAGTCCCCCATCGGTATGCGGAAGTCCATCTTCTGTCCATTTCTTTGCAGCATTTCTAGATGTTTCAAACACCGCTGCCCTCTACTGCTGACCTTTTGACGGCCATGCCAAATACATCATTCTCAGCAATTCATCATAGCTATTGTCCACTTTCTCCCAGGCCTTGCTCTGACTCACTCGATGATTTCAGCACCTGGAGTACATTTTTCTTCTCCCCGTTTCTTCCTTGGCAATTCCAGTGTCCTTGCTGACAAACTTCAAAGACCTCACTCTCTTATCCATACCAGCCACTATGGGTAAAAGCTCTGGACACCGCCCTCCCAAGATGCTCCTCCTTTCCCGTCACAACTTCCTTTCCCGCATCCACTTCTTTCCACCCTTCCTTAAGACTTCTCTCCCTTCACGTGGTCTCGCAGTCTGCTCAGACTAAAGCATGGGCACTGGCGTTAGAGACACCTGGGCTGAGTCCAGGCTCTGCCACTTACTGCCTCACGTTGTTTAACCACCCTGAGCCCTGTCTAGAAGCCCTTCCTCATGGGGCCGTGGAATCAAACAGGAAGAGTGTGTTATGTGCAGAGCATCCAGCAGGGACCGGAGAGAGCTGGGCCAGCTCCATCTCAGGCTCCACAGCCTCCTCAGGGCACACCCACTTCTCTCCCTGACAAAGTGCTCTCCTGCACACCACCCTGTTTATTTCCTTACGTTTATGAATCTACTGACATCCCACTACATGCCAGGCACTGTTCTAGGCACTGGGGATACAACCTGAACGAAACAGACCGAAGTCTCCACCTTGTGGAGCTTATATTTTTAAGGAATCCAGCAACTGGACATATTAATACATCACAGAAATAACAGCTAACTCTCAAATGTCCAAAGAGAATTGTGTTACCTGTTCAGGGTAACACAGAAACATGCAGATTAATAAGAGCATGAAGTTTGGAGTGAGAAAGACCTAGTTCAAATCCAATCTTTACCACTTAACAGCTAGTTGATCTAACTTTCTCTGCACCTATTTCCTCATTGGTAAAATGGGGATATCATTATATTACATATCTCACCAGGTCGTTGAGGACTGAATGAGATTATACATGGAAATCATTTAGCACAGCTCTTTTGAACATACGTTATTTTTAAGAAGGTTTTATATACAATAAAATGAGGAAGCATTACTGTCCCGTGCTGATACCTTTCTCTATTGCTTTTAATTCTTCCGAGAAGCCACAAAACCATCTGGCTATTCTGTCCACAATAATCTCTGCCTTTTCAGAAACTCTTCTTGTATTTATAACCATATGCTCAAAGTTCGATGACTAACTTTTCCTGCCACTTCCTTTTATCTCCTATTTATTTTGTATATCTTAATTTTGCTCTCCTAACTATATTATAAACTCCTTGAGGCAAGGGGTCACATTTGGTGTTTTAATTGTATCTACTTCCTGTATCCCATCCATCTATCATAGTGTCAGGAGATCAGAAAGCTTTTGTTGATCCACTGACACAACCACCTCTAGGGAAAAACTTGATGGTCAGTTGGGAAAAGTAGGGAGAAGGATCCGTGGGGGTCTGAAAGCTCTGGGGAAAGGTGGCAGCAGGAAGGAAGGCAGAAACAAAAGGGAGAGGGGATTTCGTTCAGGGGCTATAGGGCTCTGGCTCCCATTCAGACTAGGGGTCCTGGAGCTGCCTTTAGCTCTATCTTTCCCATTCTGCATCTTCTCTTCTTTCTCTGCACCTTCCCCTGCTGTGAAAACAAGTCCAAGGAGGCCAGTGACCCTTCAGCACAGTAGAAGCATAGGAGGAGGGAGAAGCGAGTAGCTTAGGAGGCTTGGGATGAAACCCTAGCTAAAAGCTCATGGCTTCAGGTCTCCAAGGGTGCTGAAATCACCTAGTCTGCACCCTGTGTGGTCCATGCCCCAGCATCATGTCCCCATAAGCCCTGAGCCCAGAGCAGTGCAGTCTGATGTCACCCACCCAGCTTCTGGCTCTATTGCTGGCTTCTCTAAGGTGATGATATCTACGAGGTATATGGCTAATACCTTGCATTCAGGTTCAAGAAAACAATGATAAAAGTGTACAGCAGGGAATACCTAGATGAACACTGGCTTTCGTTAAACAAACAAACAAACAAACATACAAAAAACTGGTTTTAGCTGATGACAAACTTAAAATGACTGAACAGTGCAAAGTGGCTGTGTGGAAAAAAGCTAATGCCATCTAACGTTACTTTCCCTGGGGCCTGCTCAGGGAGGTGGCAGAGCTCACTGTGCTGGGGGCGGAGTGGGGGGCAGGGGGAAGACCCCTTGCAATGTGGAGACGTGCTCAGCCCTGGAAACTCACTTTGAACCAGGGCCTTGCAACACTTGGGCACACGGGATGGTCAAGTGAAACCCACGTCACGTGAGGAATGGCTGAAGGAACTGTGAACAGCTGCCTAAAGAGGAGAGGCTACGGGAGAGCCACGTGATCTGCCATCAAATACTGGAAACTCTAACATGAGAGGAGGGACTGAGCTCACTCTGGGTAGCTTTAGAGGGTGGAATGAGGATCAATTTGCTATAGAAAGGCAGATTTTGGCTCCCTGATAAGGAAGAACTTCCCAGTGAGGAGAGCTGGTCATGAATGAACTCGCTGGAAATATTCAAACAGAGGACTTTTATATCAGGCAGCAAGCTGGATGAAATGACTTCCAAGATCCTTTCCAACTCTCAAGAGTCCATCATTTGTGAAAAGATTTCAGAAAAGATGAGGAGGGCAAGCTATGGATATAAACAGTATGTCCACGCCGTATAGAATACATGGAAGATAATTTGAGCACCTACTCTCATCCTCATGAAAATCTCAACAGTGATGGTAAAAACAGGTTGGGGACTTCCTGGGGACGCAGTGGTTCAGAATCCGCCTGCCAATGCAGGGGACGTGGATTCAAGCCCTGGTCCAGGAAGATCTCACATGCTGTGGAGCAACTAAGCCCGTGCGCCACAACTACTGAGCCTGGGCTCTACAGCCCGCAAACCACAACTACTGAGCCTGCATGCTGCAACTACCAAAGCCCGCCCCCCCTAGAGCCCATGCATTGCAACTACTAAAGCCTGTGCGCCTAGAACCTGTACTCTGCAACAAGAGAAGCCACCACGAGAAGCCCGCGCACCGCAACAAAGAGTAGCCCCCGCTCACCACAGCTAGAGAAAGCCCGCGTGCACCAATGAAGACCCAACGCAGCCAAAAACATAAATTAAAAAAAAACACATGTTGGGCTTCCCTGGTGGCGCAGTGGTTGAGAGTCCGCCTGCCGATGCAGGGGACGCGGGTTCATGCCCCGGTCTGGGAGGATCCCACATGCCGCGAAGCGGCTGGGCCCGTAAGCCATGGCCGCTGAGCCTGTGCGTCCGGAGCCTATGCTCCGCAACGGGAGAGGCCACAACAGTGAGAGGCCCGCGTACCGCGAAAACAAACAAACAAACAAACAAACAAACAAAAACACATGTTGGTGTTGGGCTCTTCCACTCACTGAGAAACTGGCAGCCTTGCATGTAAAGGGAGTTTACCTCTGTGTTTGATAGAGATACTGGGCCATGTGTGGGGCTAGTCCACATCTACCGTGGACTTAGAGTGGAGCCTCAGTGAAAGGGGCCCTCGTGGGATTGCAGACATGATCCCTTGTCCTGTGCGGGGATAAGGACAGTGTGTGGTAAGAACGTCGACTTAATGTTCAGACCTAAAGCTCTAGGACCAGCTTTGCCCCTTCAAGCTGTGTAACTTTAGGCAAATCTCTTTTCTGATAATCACTCACTGCATTTCTAAAGTAAGGGGAGTGGACAATGTGATCTCTAAGGTACCTTTCAAATACATTACATAGTTTTGTTAAAACTATCCTTTCTTACTAGGAGAGATTGCTGAGTATCCCCATACCCTTACTGATTATGAAGCTGTTTGGTCTCTATATGCTTTGTGTTTAATGATGTCTAGTTACCTCCCAAACTAGTGTGATGAGCTCATGAACCACTCATTTTGCACAAACTCTAATACATGGCCTGAGTGTGGTTAATTTCCATGCCTGAAATCCCCTAAGAAATTCCCTCCAGAAGTGGGATTTCTGGCATCTGTGGGGAGCTATGTTAGGGAAGGGACTTTCTAATCACCCATGAGGTCATCTCAAGGGTGGTCATCTCTTCTGTTTATGTGTGTGTGGAGGGGAGCAGTGCTTCTAAAAGGGATTGAGAACTGGTACCAGAACAGAGACAGTGTTACTGTAATGCTGCCTGAACAGGAGAACTGGCATCTTAACTGTACTGAAAAAACCAACACAGGCCACACACTTATTCTGTTCTAAATGAAAACAGCAGATCTGAGAGTGAAGCCATGGTCCAGACCTTGGCCTGGTCCCATGACAACACTAAAGGCATATGCTTTCTCCTACAAAGGTCTGAAGGAGTACACAAGGCTCGCCTTCCTTAAGCGCATGCACAGATGATTTCAATGTATTGTGTTCGAATAAGTACATGTGTCTGAATAGCCCACGGAAAACCTGCTTTATATTTTTATTCAATAACCTTGTTAAGCTAGTTCAAGGTATCCAAAAGCATTACATTAGGTGGAAAGACACAAAAGAGGGCCATCTGTATGAGTGACCCCCAGCACTTAGGAAGGGAATGTGTTTGTTTAATATATAACACGGGAATCTGACCACCATAAAAAAGATTAGCAAAATATCTGACGGCTTCAAAACTGATGTAATCATGGGCATTCTTGAAGACATGCTGATATGGGAATGGCCTTCTATTTTTTCTCTCCTTCCTGGGTATTATGTAAGGGGAAATATGCCATGAGGTAAGGGTCTCTGGAAAATCACTGAAATAGCTAAGAGACAGACAGACTGAGAAAGAAGTCATAGATAAGACTGAACATGAGGAACGAAGGAAGCAGCAGACTCAGGTCATGAACTTCCAGTGAAATCAGAGCCTCGTCATGGACAAAAGGAGAGAATAGGGTTTCAAAACCAAATCAAATAGGAGAGAGCAGAAAGGCAGCCGGGAGAAAGTCCAGAAGCTTTTGCAGCTGATGCGGTTCCAGTCATCCAGGAACACTCTGGAGCGAGACAGCTGAGCAGGCCTAAGGAAAGAGCAGCTGTGGAGGAAGACAGGTGGAAGACAAATTAAGTGAGGAAGGGGCCTAACTGAGCTGAATTTCTTTAAGGTCGGAATTGTGTTTGCTCCACAGGGCATACTCTTAAGAGGAACCTAAACGTGTGATTATCTCTATGTGATCATGTGTGGAAGAGAGGCTCCCAGGATGAAGGCACCCAGTGCATCCCTGGAAGGCAAGATGACCGCGTGGTGAAATTAGGGAGACGCTTTACCACGCAGTGAGGTGGCGAGGAGGGCGCGGAGGGGGAGGTGGGAGGCTGGGCGGGCACTGTGGGCGTCACCTGAGTGGAGCTCCTTCACCAGGGATGACATGGTGCTGGTGATGGAGTCAGCGGCCACCAGCAGGTCATTGCGGAGGTCTCTCCTTGTACCTGAGGGCAGTCAGAGCAGATGGCGATGCCGGGTGGGTCGGGGGGAGAGAGCTGAGCGAACGCCTGGGTCTGGGTCGGCGGGGCCCTGGGACTCAGGGCAGAACTCCTAGGGGGAGATGGGTCGAGCAGCTCTGCCCGCTCCCAGGCCGTCAGGAGCACCGGTACCCAGGTCTGTCTGTGGTCCTCCTCCCTCTTCTCTCTCTGAGGAGCAGGACCCTGTCAACTCCATACTTCTCAGCCACAATCAAAGGAGGCGGATTCTAGAACAAATGCTCAGGCAGGACTTACTCACCAGCTCCACCTCCCTGCTCTTGTCTCCGCCCCAAGAAGACTTCCTGAGCTGCCTTGTCTTCCCCCAACCGCATAACATCACTGGCCGTTAGCTCCACGGACAAGGAGGCTTCAGCAAGGTCCTGTTTAGAGTTCCACTCCTTCTCTTGTTTGCTCTAAGGACTTTCTGGGCCGAGTGCCCGACTTCGGGTATGCTTCCATGCAATTCCTCCGGAGGAGGCAAAGCCCAGAGGAAAAGGCACTTCCCACAACCCAGAAAAAAGAGCACAGAAGCCCAGGGGGTCTGTACTTCGCACATGTACAAAGCCTGCAGGCCTCCCGTTGCAGACCAGCCCATCTAATGAGAAGGGGTCAGCGCTTGACTTATTTTTACTGTATGTGAAAATCTGATCATTTAAAGCGAAGTGCACAAAAGAAACTGGGAAAACCTCAGTAGGAATCTTGTCCACGTTTCCAAACCCCCTCAGTGCTCCAATATACTCTGCTCCCGGACTCACCCTGGGCGAAGGCCTCCTGCACGTCCCCGCCGACTCCGCTCAGCGGGTCCTGCGGGCAGTGGGTGGGTGTGGAGCCAGCGGAGGTGGAGTGCACGGGCATGGGCATCGGGCGGCTGCCTCTGTGAGTGGGCGACGTCTGCTGCGATCCTGTGGCCTGAGCCTGGGAGAATCAAAGAGATAAAACATGTCATCTCAGGTACCTTACCTCTTTGAGGAAGGGGAAAGTCCTTTTTTTTCAGTCAACCTGAGCCAGCCCAGGGCTTCAGTTCAGTGGTGCAATGCAGTGCACGATCACATTTGAAAGGAAGGAGTCAGGCTGCCTTCAGCACTGGTGAGAGGAAGAAAAGGGAAGGAAAGGGAGAGAACAAAGAGGGAGGAGGGAGAAGAGGCAGCAGGAACACTGAAGAACGGACTAAAAGCGGGAGGGAAAGGGGTAGAGGCGTGCACAGGGAGGGGGGGCCTTCCAGGTGGACAGATGGAGCAGAGTAGCTGGTTGGAGGATCTGGGAGGGGCTGGGGTCACACAGCTGGGAAATAATATACCAACACCTTTGAGTTTTGTTTGCAAACACATTCAGGTGCATTATTTCATTTGATCCTCATAACAACTTGTGAGTAGAAGGAGCACATGTTTTTTTGTATCCATTTTACAGAAGAAAAACAAGGATGAAGGGAGGAAGAGCTCTGTGTCAGGCTGCACGTCTCGTCAGCGGGAGATGCTGGAACAAGTCCTTCTACTTTAAGGGCAATGACACGTGTTCTGTGCCTCTGCAGCTGCCAGGCCACAGGGAGCGCGCTGAGTTTGTGGGTCAGGAGTCTAGCTGCAGGCTGTTCCCAGGAGCCTGGTCATCTGGCCTGTCATGCTGCACTCGTCGTGCTGCAATCGTCAAGCACACACAGTGAGGTCTTCTGTGAGCCATCCCGTGGGGACTAGGTGAGAATGGACACACGTTTAGTGGAAACCAAACTTTCCTTGTGAGGCTCTGCCTCCGTTTTGGAGAAAGCGTGGAGCAATGGGATAAAATTTTAAAACTCCAGTTAAAGGGAGCTCGCTGAGATTTGGGCTCTGCTGCTCTTCAGAGGAAGGGCAACTGAGGGTGGCATATAGACCGGGGTTTTCTTTGGAAGCAAAACTGGGAAAATATAAGCCAAAGTGTGCAAATGAGTTCAAAGGAAGATAATTATCTTTGGGGATCTGGCTCAGAAACCCCACGTACAAACAGAACCTGCCACCTCGAACAGGCTGACAGGCTGTGTGCACAAAGCCCCAGCTCAACGCTTCACCCAGTGTGAGCGCCAGACCAAACGGAAATGGTCTGTTCTCCATCGTTCTTGCTTTGATTCGTGTCTGTGTGTTTTAATTTGAGAAACTTAAAAAATACAGAAAGCTTAAAAGTGGAACATAATAGACCACTCAAATTTATAATTAATATCGTGTCAAATTTATTCCAACCTAAAAACACTGCAGATAAATGTGAAGACCCCTTTGACTACTAATTCTTTCCAGTCCCCTCCTCTCTTCCCTTCAGAGGCAGACACTGTCAAAGGTTTTGGTGTGAAACTTTTTACCAACGTGTACATATGTAATTATGAATAATATATGACATTTCGTGCCTTTAAATTTTGCATGAACGGGTATCATACTGCACGTATCATTTTGCAACTTGCTTTTATCATCTAGCATACTTTAAAAAATGTTATTGAAGTATAGTTGATTTACAATGTTTAATTTCTGCTGTACAGCAAAGTTAGCATACTTTTTGAGATCTTTCCATGATAAAAATAAATATGAACTTAGACTCTTACCTCACATTATATACAAAAACTAACTTAAAATGGATCATTCCAAATATAAGAACTAAAATTATAAAACTCTTAGAGGGAAAGATTAGACAATGACTTTTCAGATATGACACAAAAAGTATATACTACAAAAGAAAAACAGATAAATTCGACTTCATTAAAATTAAAAACTATTTTTAAAGGACACCTTTAAGAAAGTGAGAAAAACTCAGAGGATGGGAAAAATTTTTGCAAATCATATATCTCATAAGGGACTTATATTAGGAATATCTACACAACATGGTAAATCAACTATACTTTAATTAAAAAATTAATTAAAAAAAAGAATATATATAGATCTCTTGGGACTTCCCTGGTGGTCCAGTGGGTAAGACTTTGTGCTCCCAATGCACGGGGCCCAGGTTTGTTCCCTGGTCGGGGAACTAGATCCCACATGCATGCCACAACTAAGAGTCTGCGTGCTGCAACTAAGAAATCCACAAGCTGCAAGGAAGATCCCACGTACCGCAACTAAGACCTGGTGCAGCCTAAATAAATAAATAAATATTTTTTAAAAAAGATCTCTTACACTCAATAATAAAAGGACAGGTAACCTAATTTAAAAATAGGCAAAGGATCTGAATGGACATTTCTCTAAAGAAGATATGCAAATATCCAATAAGCATATGAAAAGATGCTCAATATTACTGGCCATTAGGGAAATGCAAATCAAAACCATAATGAGTGGGACTTCCCTGGTGGTGCAGTGGTTAAGAATCCACCTGCCCCAAAAAAAAAAAAAAAAAAAAGAATCCACCTGCCAATGTAGGGGACACAGGTTTGATCGCTGGTCCAGGAAGATCCCACATGCCGCAGAGCAACTAAGCCCGTGCGCCACAACTACTGAGCCTGCGCTCTACAGCCTGCGTGCCACAACTACTGAGACCACGCACTGCAACTACTGAAGCCCACACACTCTAGGGCCCGCGTGCCACAACTACTGAAGCCCACGCACCTAGAGCCCGTGCTCCGCAACGAGAGAAGCCACCGCAATGACCGTGCACCGCAACGAAGAGTAGCCCCTGCTTGCTGCAGCTAGAGAAAGGCTGCACGCTGCAACGAAGATCCAATGCAGCCAAAAAACAAAACAAACACAAAACCCAAAAAACCACAATGAGCTACAACTTCACACCCAATAAGATGGCTATAATAAAAAAGACAGATAATAACAAGTGTTGACAAGAATGTGGAGAAATTGAAACGCTCAAAAACTGCTGGTAGGAATATAAAAATGGGGCAGCTGCTTTAGAAAACAGTTTGGCAGTTCCTCAAAAGTTTAAACACTGACTACCATATGACCCAACAATTCCACTCCTACATGTATATACTAGAGATAAATGAAAATCTATGTATACACAAAAATTTGTACACAAATGTTCATAGCAGCATTATATATAATAGCCAAAACGTGAAAACAACCCCAAATGTCCAGGGACTTCCCTTGTGGTGCAGTGGTTAAGAATCCACCTGCCAATGCAGGGGACACAGGTTCGATCCCTGGTCTGGGAAGGTCCCATGTGCCACGGAGCAACTAAGCCCGTGAGCCATAACTACTGAGACTGTGCTCTAGAGCCTGCGAGCCACAACTACTGAGGCCACGTGCCACAACTACTGAAGCCCGGGCACCTAGAGCCTGTGCTCTGCAACAAGAGAAGCCACCTCGGGACTTCCCTGGTGGTGCAGTGGTTAAAAATCTGCCTGCCAGGGGCTTCCCTGGTGGCGCACTGGTTGAGAGTCCGCCTGCCGATGCAGGGGACACGGGGTCGTGCCCCGGTCCGGGAGGATCCCAC